CTTTGTGATTGTATGCGATGATAAATGTTCGGGGAGTGCAAGAAGCTGAGAATCCATCCATTAGGATGAATAAAACGATTTTTGACTTTGATCTATCAACAGTCATACAGTTCAAACAGAAGCCACAGGACTCAAAAACGAGAATGGTGATTGACTGGTATTCTTTTAACAAATGATATTTCTAATATGCACATTATTTTATCCCATTGATTTGGTTCAGTAGACGAATCACTATTTCTGTGATCTTTTCCCGGCGTCCGGATGACGTGAGATTCCAGTGTACTAGTGCTAGTATGACTCAGTGTTGCGTCAGTTGCGTCCGCGATTCGTAAACCGTACCCACTTACATTACCACAGTCAACCATGGGAACGTTACAGGTAAACATGCAGGAGAATAATTTCAAAGTTTAAACATCAAATCAAATCTGTCGATTCGGGATAAATACACGTCAATTTACGTGCCAGTATTTCCTCATCCGATTCGAATGGAGATAGGAATCTGTCATCCGACTCGATCGGATGAGTGTCATACTGTAGGACGCATGTGTGTGCATATGCGAGATGGCAAAAACAAACAAACTGTGACTCACTTGAACCTGTTCCAACTCGGTTCCCAGACGATCCACGTCCAAACTTTCGACCGGGGTCCATCGTAAAGTGACTGTGTGCGCGCTTCGGACTTGCTCAACCGCATCATTGAAAAGTGATTGAAAATTCGCCAGACGCTAAACCGAACGAGATGAGATGGATGATGATGATGTGCAACGGTTCACATCCACCTTGAACTTAAAGAAAAACGACTATTTTCATGAACACTGCACAGAGTTCGTTCAGTCATGTGTTGCACACACACACACACAGAGAGAGAGAATGTTGTATATACCGGACACAACTGGTTGTTACGAGGATGGGCGAAGGGATGGACGGAGGGTGGAACGACAACCCTTGTCGATATTGATCAGAAACAATTGCAGTTACGGATGTTGGATGACCAAACTGCAATCAGCAGGGAGATAATAAATCATGCTGATCTGGCGACATTCCCTCTCTCATGCAAGCGCGCACGCACGGACAGACGCGAGCTCTCTCTCTCTCTCTCGCTTCCCTTCTCATCATCCTTATCCATAACCTTGTTTGATTCTCTGTTCACAAAATTCCCTGTGTACGTCATTCAGATCGATTTGCTTTGGTGTAAAGGTTGGTTCATTTTGTATTATAAATTACATAACGCGAATGTCGCGTTCCATTCATACACACACGCACACACAACTAGTAATGCACTACGCGTACAAAGCAATCAAGACCGATCGTTGCTTCCTCAGTGTACTACTATTTATCTGTGTGTGTGTGTGTGTGTGTGTGTGCATCCGAGGGGAAAAGTAATTTCTGAAGGAGTTGAGTGAGATGGACTAACGGGGCTCGAGACGCGATAGTTTTTGAATCAAGGACAGCGCCGAAACAGCGACGTAACTTCGAATCGATCGCGATCACGTGCTTCCGAGTCCAAATCCAGCACATTCGGGTCCCCCCTCCCGATCTGATCCGCTTCAATTTTGATGCCAGGAGAGAAACAATTTANATTTAAGGATCAGTTGTACAGAGTACCAGTAAGAAGGGGTCAACCCCACCCCCCCACCCCTGTTTCAGATTGGGAACGCTTCGAAATATAGAGATAGTCAAACACGCGACAGTCCGCTTTCGGTGGTGTAAATGGTAAAGGATGACATTGATCGACCGGCTAGGCATGTTTTTCAACTAAACAGAAAATTTTTCATTTTTGTGGAAACATTTCAATACACGTGCCAAATACTGCGTGTTGTGCTGAAGAAAAAACAACTATCGAATCTCATCTGAACGTTTCTGTTTGAAGAGTATTACGCATTTGGATCGCACCAATTTAGGTGGAAGTTGTGTTTGTTCGGTTGAACAAAACGCATACTTCGATTACGATCAAATACGCGCCCGTTCTAGTAGACAATCTGTTTACGCTTTGGAATCCGAGCAACAAAGACCGTTTTTAAAGTAATCTGGTCTGGTGAGAACTATCAGTCCAGAAAGGGTGGATTATTGTAGCTCTATCAACGGATTCATGCAGGATAGCGGGTAATATCACGATTGAGCAATTAGGACAGTAGCTCGAATGTATGAAACCCACTTCTACCGATCCACTCCCCCACAGTTGGGGAATTGACAACCATCATTTAGTCACCTCCCTCTGCCACCCACTCTGAATACGGATTGCATATTGATTTTTGTATGACAAATATAAACGCAGGGGATAGATTATTTTCTATCCTTTACATATTTTTTTTTTGGACAATTGATTGATTGATCGTTGATAAAAGTGATTCATAGCTGGCAACCGGCATTCACATTTGGTTCTGCGTTGCACAGTGATTCTTCCATAAGTTCACAAAATGAGGATAAGAATATACGTACTTTCACGGATTTCATTTTCGTTGTAGGGATTAAATTTGAACAGCGGAACGGCTGAATTCTGATCGGCACCTTTGTGTGTGTGTCACATGCACGTAGCCCTTCAGTAGTATTATTGATCAATACAATATTTCACTCTATTAAGTAAATTTAAAATCTTACAATCGGGGCCAAATTACTTCAGAAGCAAAGTTCTAACTGATTTCGGTTTGATCTAAGTGAGCGTTCTGATACTCTCTTCTCCGTCTGATTGTGCCAGAACGATTTAGTGGTACTCATGTGGGTGGCCGGAACTTACTCGGCGATTGATTGATCGTATTGGCCTGTTACTCACCCCTGCCTTGTTCAACCACTTCCCACAGCTAGGGACCGAACCACCCGCTTTC